CCTGCCCGAAGCGCACTCATCCCGAGTCGCGCCTCGGGCCACTCCTTCCCCGAGCCGCCCTAGCGGCCGGCCTTACCCTCGCGGCCCCGCCACCCAGTGAACGCGGCCCCGCCGCCTCTTCTCTAGCGGCCTCGCCGCCCTGCTCTCGCGGCCCTCGCCGCCCTTACTCACGCGGCTCCGCCGCCCCTGATCTCGCGGCCCCGTCGCCCCTGCTCCAGCGGCCCCGCCGCCCCTGATCTCGCGGCCCCGCCGCCCCTGAACTAGCGGCCCTCGCCGCCCCTGATCTCGCGGCCCCGCCGCCCAAGCGCTCGCGGCCCCCGCCGTCCCTGATCTCACGGCCCCGCCGCCCCAGCGCTCACGGCCCCGCCGCCCCTGATCTCTCGGCCCCGCCGCCCAAGCGCTCCCGGCCCCGCCGCCCCTGATACGCGGCCCCGCCGCCCCAGCGCTCGCGGCCCCGCCGTCCCTGATCTCACAGCCCCGCCGCCCCAGCGCTCACGGCCCCGCCGCCCCTGATCTCGCGGCCCCGCCGCCCCAGCGCTCCCGGCCCCGCCGCCCCTGATCTCGCGGCCCCGCCGCCCCAGCGCTCCCGGCCCCGCCGCCCCTGATCTCGCGGCCCCGCCGCCCCAGCGCTCCCGGCCCCGCCGCCCCTGTTACGCGGCCCTGCCGCCCCAGCGCTCCCGGCCCTGCCGCCCCTGATACGCGGCCTCGCCGTCCCTGATCTCACGGCCCCGCCGCCCCAGCACTCACGGCCCCGCCGCCCCTTGCTCTCGCGCCGCCCAACTGCAGCAGCCGAGCCGCCCAACTGCAGCAGCCAAGCCGCCGGACCACCGAGCAGCAGTGCAGCCGAGCCGCCCTTGCACCCGAGCCGCCCGGCAGCCGAGCCGCCCCGCCCGAGCCGCCCTACCGCCGAGCCGCCTGGGAGCCGAGCCGCCCGGGAGCCGAGTTGCTGAGTAGCCGAGCCGCCTTTTCTACCGAGCCGCCCGACCTGCCCTGCCCAGTGAGCACTGTACCGCTGTCACTGCGTGCCCTTCCCCTACTGCTTGCACTGCTTCACTGTCGTCGTCATGGCTACCCCTAGTGTCCTCGCTTTTGACGCTGAGGGTCGAGCCATAGACTTCGAGGTGTGGCTCGACGACCTGCAGCTGTTTTTACAGTGCGATAGGGCGGACGGTCTGTCTCTCTTTGACCTCACCTCTGGCGCCGTCCCTTCCCCTGCTGCTGATGCTGACGCCACTGTTCGCTCACAGTGGGCCACGCGCGATGCTGCTGCACGTCTTGCTGTGCGTCGCCACTTGCCTACCGCTGAGCGCGCGCACTTTAGCCAGTACAAGAGTGCTCAGACCTTGTACGACGCTGTAGTTGCGCGCTACTCCTCCCCTGCCACTGCTGCACTGAGCCGCCTCATGCTCCCCTTCCTCTTCCCTGACCTTGCCGCCTTTCCCACTGTCGCTGATCTCATCACGCACCTCCGCACTAGTGACACTCGCTACCGCGCTGCGCTTCCTGCTGACTTCTGCGCCAAGAACCCCCCCCCCCCCATGTACATCACTCTCTACTTCTTAGTCACTCGCCTCCCTGACTCCCTTCGTGTAGTCCGGGACCACTTCCTCGCAGTCTGTCCCACCACCCTCACAGTCGACAGCCTAGAGAAGGCCCTCCTTGCGGCAGAGAAGAGCATAGTCGCTGTAGGTGCCTCTCGAGGTGACCCCCGCGCCCCCATCTTTGAGGGGTGTTCTCCTTCCCCTCTCCTGCCCTCTGTCGCCTCTGCCGCTGCGGCCGACCTCGTTGGTCTTGAGTCGGTCGGTGCGGCGTCTGCCCCTAGCGGGAGACGCCGCTCTGGCAAGGGCAAGGGGGGCAAGGGAGCGGGTGGGGCCAGTGGGGGCGGTGGAGGTGGAGGTGGAGGCGGCGGAGGGAGTGGGGGTGGCGGTGGAGGTGGTAGCGGGGGTGGGGGTGCTAGTGGCGGCAGTGGAGGCGGGGGTGGCGGCGGCGGTGGCGGTGGTAGCGGAGGTGGCGGAGGTGGCGGCGGTGGAGGCGGAGGCGGGGGCGGTGGAGGCGGAGGCGGGGGTGGCGGAGGTGGAGGTGGTCGGAGTGGAGTTTCGCAGCGGAGCAGCACTGGGGGAGGTCAGCGCCAGCAGCAGCAGCAGCAGCAGCAGCAGCGTTCTCGCGACGTCCCCACCCCTCAGCAGCTCCGTGAGTGGTACACGCAGCGTCAGCGCGGTGGGGGTTTTGGTCCCTGCACCTACGTTCTCCGCACTGGCGACCGCACTGGAGAGCAGTGTGGGGGCACCCACACCGCCCAGCGCTGCTTTGGCCGCCTGACGGACGCTTGGCGCCAGCAGTTCTCGGAGGCCGCGGAGATCCCCCGTTGGGGAGAGCTGTCTAGGGCTGGTGTAGCTATCTTTGATCTTGATTTTGATGCTATCCTTGCTGCCATGTATGCTGTGACCATTAGTGATGAGGGTGACTGTTACCAGTGTTTCCCGCCCGACCCGGGCATTGGTACTGCTGCTCCAGGTGCCGGTGAGGCTTCTGCTCTTGGTGCCAGTGCGTCTGTGCTCTCAGGTGCTGGTGAGGCTGCTCTCTCAGGTACTAGTGCGTCTGCGCTCTCAGGTACTGCGTCGGCTTCGGCCTCCCACACCTTCACTCTTGACTCTGGAGCGTCTCGCTCTTTCTTTCGGGACCGCACCACACTCACGCCGCTTAGTCGGCCGGTTGCGGTTTCCCTGGCTGACCCCTCTGGGGGTCCTGTCCTGTCTCGCTTCTCCACAGTCCTCCCGTGTTCGGCGGCTCCCTCTGGCACCCTGTCTGGTCTCTACCTCCCCTCGTTCTCTACGAACTTGGTGAGTGGTGCTGACCTACAGGATGCGGGAGTCCACCAGTTCACCCCTGCTCGTCAGCGAGTGACGCACTGCACAGAGGCTAGCACGGGTCGTCACCTGGCCACGTTTACACATCAGCCAGGGTCGAGCCTGTACACACTGACCACTGCTTCTCCTCCAGGTGCTGAGTCTGGTAGAGTCCCTTCGTCTGGTCAGGTGTTTGCTGCAGCGTCCAGGTCTGGTCCTGAGTCTGCCCCCTGTTCGTGTCGCCGTCTGTCTCACGAGACCCTCCTCTGGCACCACCGCCTTGGCCACCCCTCTCTGCTTCGGCTCAGAGGCATGGCCTCCCGTCTTCTTGTGTCTGGTCTCCCCCGGTCCCTCCCTCCCCTTCCTCAGGGCCCTGGCCCTGCCTGTGTCCCCTGTGTCGAGGGGCGCCAGCGTGCTGCCCCTCACTCCTCCCAGTTTCCTCCGACAGAGGCTCCGTTGCAGACGCTTCACATGGACGTGCCCTGCCCGCGTCTGTGGACTCGGTCACGAGCGCTACTTCCTGTTGGTGGTTGACGACTACTCGCGTTACACCACAGTCTTCCCCTTGCGCAGCAAGGGTGATGTCACTGAGGTGCTGATCGACTGGATCCGCGCAGCTCGTCTCCAGCTCAGGCAGAGCTTTGGCTCGGACTTTCCTGTGTTGCGTCTGCACTCGGACAGAGGCGGAGAGTTCTCCTCTGGCCTTCTGCGTGCCTACTGTCGTGCGCGAGGCATCCGCCAGACCTTCACGCTTCCGGACTCCCCGCAGCAAAATGGGATTGCAGAGCGCCGCATTGGCATGGTCATGGACGTCGCTCGTACGTCTATGATGCATGCGGCTGCCCCCCATTTTCTGTGGCCGTTTGCGGTCAGGTACGCGGCGCATCAGATCAACCTCCACCCCAGGGTCTCCAGGCCGGAGACCTCCCCAGCCCTGCTGTGGACGGGGAAGGTTGGCGATGCGTCGGCATTCCGGGTCTGGGGATCTCGGGCGTTTGTCCGCGACTTGTCTGCGGACAAGCTGTCCCCTCGCGCTGCTCCCTGCGTCTTCCTGGGGTTCCCCCCCGACGCCCCTGGGTGGCAGTTCTACCACCCCACCTCTCGACGTGTTCTGTCCTCCCAGGACGTTTCGACGAGTCAGTACCCTACTACCGCCTCTTCCCCTACCGCACTCCGTCCCTCCCCCCGCCCCCGCTCTTCTTGGTACCAGGTCCCCCCCCGGTAGACCCCCTCCCCCCTCAGGGTCCTGCCCCTTCAGGTGTGTCCCAGGTAGACGCGGTCGAGCCTGTTGAGGTCACTGGTGACTCTGGTGCTGCTGCGGGAGCTGAGCCTGGGGGTGCTGGGACTGGAGGCGCTACGCTTGGGGGTGCTGAGCCTGGGGGTGCTGGGACTGGAGGCGCTACTCTTGGGGGTGCTGAGCCTGGGGGTGCGGAGTCTGGAGGTGCTGAGCCTGGGGGTGCTGGGCCTGGGGGTGCTGAGCCTGGGGGTGCTGAGACTGGGGGTGCTCCGCCTGGCGGTGCTTCGTCTCGCCGAGAGCCACTCTCCCCACAGGAGCTGCGTGAGTGGTTTGCTCGGCGCTGGAGGCGTGCTGCTGGTGCTGGAGGTTCTTCGGCTGCAGAGGGTGCTGCTGCCGAGCGTCCCAGAGGTGCTCGTGCTGTGGGTGCTGGAGCTGCTGGGTCTGAGGGTTCTCCTGGAGCTGGTGCTGCTGAGGGTGTTGGCGCTGACACTACCGCTGGCGGTCCGACTGGCAGTGCTCCTGGTGGTGCTACTGGAGGTTCTGGAGCCACTGGAGGTGCTGCTGGAGGTGCTGCTGGAGCGGGTACTCCTCCTGGGAGTACTGGTGCTGTCCCTGCTGTTTCTGGCGTCGCCACGCGGCCCCGACCGTACTTCGTTCCGCTCCTGCAGCAGGTTCTTGGTCTTACACCTTCTCCTGGTCCTCCTCCTCCTCCCTTAGAGGGTCCATAGCCTGTCTCGTCACAGTCACAGCTACAGCCTGCCTCCCCTTTGCCTGCTCCTTCTCCCTACGCTGGTCCGACTGGAGGTCTTACTGAGCGTCGTGAGCCTGCGTCTCGTCCTGCGTCGCCCGTTCGTGCTGCGCGCACGAGTGGTCGCGGTTCGCGTCAGCGTCCTCCTCCTGTCCCTGGCACGCACCGGATGTCTCTGCGTCCGTCCACTGCTCCTCTGCGTGCCCCTTTGCCTTCTCCTCCTGCTTCCTCTCTTCCTGCTCTTGCCGACCCGGAGTCGGACTCTCTTCGTGCTGCCAGTCCTACTGTCACGCGTCTCCTTGCTACTGCTGTCACTGACCCTTCTTTCGAGTCGTCTGCTGCGTCTGCCCTTGTCACTGAGCTCGTCGACTTTGCTGCGCGCTGTCGTCTAGACTACGCTGCTAGTCTTGTCGCTGCGTCTGAGTCTGCCTGTCCTCCATCCGTCGGGGGTGAGTGTGCCCTTGGCACGGACGTCCTTGAGGACAGGCAGGAGGAGTTCCACTGACTGGCCGCCGCTTCACCTCATCTCGCGTCTGTACTGCTAGCCCCTGAGGGAGACCCGGATGCACTAGACATCCCGACTCCGCGCTCTTACGCGGAGGCGATAGAGGGTCCCTACTCCTCTCAGTGGCAGGCAGCTATGGATGCAGAGATGGCTTCCTGGAAGTCCACAGGCACCTACGTTGACGCTGTTCCCCCTCCTGGGGCGAACATTGTCAGTGGCATGTGGATCTTCAGGGTGAAGCGGCCGCCGGGTTCTCCGCCTGTCTTCAAGGCGCGTTACGTGGCTCGTGGCTTCAGTCAGCGGCAGGGGGTTGACTACTTTCAGACCTTCTCCCCCACCCCGAATATGACCACTCTTCGGGTACTGCTGCACGTTGCTGCTCACCGTGACTACGAGCTGCACTCTCTCGACTTCAGCACTGCTTTCTTGCAGGGCAGCCTGCACGAGGAGATCTGGCTGCGTCGCCCACCTGGCTTCACTGGGTCTTTCCCTCCTGGTACCCAGTGGAGTCTCCGGCGTCCAGTCTACGGTCTCCGCCAGGCGCCACGTGAGTGGCACGACACACTGAGGACTACGCTGGCGGCACTTGGGTTTGCTCCTTCTACTGCCGACCCGTCGCTGTTTCTTCGCACCGACACCTCTCTGCCGCCGTTCTACATCCTCGTGTACGTCGACGACTTGGTCTTTGCCACAGCTGACACTGCTGGACTCGCCTACGTGAAGTCCGAGCTGCAGAAGAGACACACGTGCACTGACCTGGGTGAACTGCGCAGCTACCTTGGCTTGCAGATCACCCGGGACAAAGCACGCCGCACCATTACCCTGACTCAGTCACACATGGTGCAGCAGGTCCTTCAGCGCTTCGGCTTCACGTACTCCTCGCCTCAGGCCACTCCTCTGCCTACTCGCCACTCGCTCTCAGCTCTGCCTTCGGATGAGTCCGTAGAGTCGAGTGGCCCATATGCAGAGCTTGTTGGCTGCCTCATGTACCTGATGACCTGCACACGACTTGACCTTGCATACCCTCTTAGCATTCTCGCACGCTATGTTGCTCCTGGGAGACACCGACCAGAGCACATGGCTGCAGGGAAGAGGGTGTTGCGCTACTTGTGCAGTACGTCGGGCATGGGGCTAGTGCTTGGAGGGCGCAGTCCAGTGGTCCTCACTGGGCACGCGGACGCTTCTTGGGCTGACGACCGGGCTACGCAGCGGTCGTCACAGGGTTACACCTTCAGCCTTGGTTCCGGCTCTGTTTCGTGGCGGGCTACCCGCTCGTCTTCTGTTCTCGGCTCCAGTTGTGAGGCTGAGATCTACGCCGGGGCTATGGCTGCACAGGAGTTACGCTGGCTCACCTACCTGCTGACCGACCTTGGAGAGCCGCCTCGTTCTCCTCCAGTCCTGTACGTAGACAACAAGGCCATGCTGGCCTTGTGTCGAGAGCAGCGACTGGAGCACAGGACAAAGCACATTGCTCTCCGCTACTTTCTTGCTCGTGAGCTACAGCAGCGTGGACAATTGCGACTTGCGTACGTGGCCTCTGAGGCCAACACTGCTGATGTCTTCACCAAGGCACTTGCGCCTTGTGATCATCAGCGTTGTTGCACGCAGCTGGGTCTTGTGCCTGTCTTGCCTCACTTGCTCACTTCTTGACTTTGCTTGTACCTTCACCTATATATACTCTTGCTCTTACTTGCTTGACTCTTGTATATCTTTATATACGATCTTGCATGTGAACTGGCCTTGTGGCCCTTGAACTTGTGCTCGGAATGTGTGGTGACTTTGTGATCCACCCTGAGCTTTGCTTTGCTTTGCTTGACTGGTCTTGTGACCCCTTGTTCTCCCCCACTTTGCCTATGGGGGTGTGTCAGAACATTATAGCTTACTCTGTTCTGTAGGTTATAGTGGGGTATCCCATAGGGGGTACAACCCAATTAGGGTTTCATATTTGTACTCACTTCATTTCATAGTCCATTCATTCTCGTTCAGTTTTCCTCACTCCCCGCATGCCCCATACCTGGTGAGCACGAGCTCCTCAAAAGCGTCAGCTATCAGTGCGATGTTCTTGCTTGGTAACGCTCGCGCCTCCACCCATTTACTCGTGTGCTCAACCATCACCAGAATGTACTGCTTCCCTCCTTTCAATAGTGGCAGCTCTCCCGCGAGGTCCAATGACCACCTGTAGCCCAACCCGCGAATTGGTAAAGAATGCAGCTTATCTCTCTCTTTCTCTAGCCTTGCTTTATTCCTCTAACATGCCTCGCAGCTCGCCACTAATCCTGCCACATCCTTTCCCATGCTCACCCACCAGTACATGGTGCTCAGCAGCTGCCGTGTTCTGGTTATGCCGAAGTGCCCCAGCTTCGCGTGCACATTCCCCATAATCTTGGCTCTCTCCTGTGGTTGTGGCACCACCTTCCACCCTTCGTTGGTTCTCAGCTGCAACTGTTCCTGAAACCACCTGAAATGCTGCCCTCGGGCCCTGGCTCTCTCGCTCACTCCTTCCTCTTCTAGTGGCTCCCCTTTGATCCAGCTCAGGGTCTCCTCATCCTCCCATATATCCCCTAACCGTCTCTTTCCTTTCTCTTGCCCCCAGGGTATCGCTGCTACTTGAGCCAGGGCTGCCAGCTGCGCTACCGGCTGCATTGGTGGCGGATTCCTTGATAACCCATCTGCGTGCTGCAGCGTTTTCCCAGGCCGGTGTTGGATCTCAAAGCCGAATCCCAGCAGCTTAATTGCCCAGCGAGTGTTTCTTCCCGTCAGCTCCTGATGAGTCATCAACCATAGCAACGGCTGGTGATCAGTCACAAGTGTGAAGCGCCGACCCTGCAGGTACACCTTGAAGTGAGTGATCCCCCATACAGCTGTCACGCCCTCCCCCTCGTAAGAGCAGTAGTTAGCCTCGGATATGCTGCAGCTGCGGCTGGCGAAGGCTACCACTCTCTCCTCTCCTTCTATCTCTTGGCAGAGCACTGCCCCCATTCCTGTGCTGCTCCAGTCGGTGTATAAGATGAAAGGGGCATCTGCCCTCGGTATCTGCAACAGCGTTCCCGTTCGTACTGCTTCTAACAGGTCCTGCCTTGCCGTTTCCTCCAGCTCTCCCCACTGCCAGCTCCTCCCTTCCTTCAGCAGCTGATTTAGTATGTAGGCTCGGCGGCTGAAGTTCGATACGAACTTCCTGTAATAATTCAGGAAGCCGAGTAACGCCCGCAGCCCGGTCTTATCCTTTGGTGCTGCCAGGTTCTCCAGCACCTTAACTTTTGCTTCCTGTATCGCCAGCCGGCCCCCTTTCACTTCAAAGCCCAGGTAAGCCACGGTCTGCCTTGCTATCTTGCACTTGTCTGGATGGCACGTCAGACCCGCAGCTGCTATAGCCTCTAGCGTCTCCTTCAGATCTTGCACGTTATGCTCTTCACTGCCGCTGAAAATCAGTATATCATCTATGTAGCAGGCTGCTGCTGGAATCCCCTTCAGCACCTGATCCATGGCCCGCTGGAACACTGCAGGGGCGTTGCGTATCCCGAAGGGCATCACATTGTAATCATACAGCCCATCCACCCCGTGAAACGCCATTTTCCATTTGTCTTCCTCCCTGATGGCTATCTGGTTGAACCCCTGTCGCAGGTCCAAGGTGGTGAAGAGGATGGCGCCTTCTAAGCGATCAAAGATGTCTTCTGCTGTTGGCATGGGGTACCTGTCCGGGCTAGTAATCTTGTTCAGCTCCCGAAAATCTCCACACATCCTTTTCGCCAGCACTTTACCCATGATATCCTTCCTGGCAGCTACCACTGTGGCTGTTGCGTAGCTTGACTCGGACGGGCGGATAATCCCTGCTGCTAGCAGCTCCTCACACTTCTCCTTGCAGATAGCCGCATCCACTGCATTCATTCTCCTTCTTCGTTGGTAAGTGGGTATCTCTGTGGTAAGGTTTAGCTCCAGCTCTCTTCCCTTGAACCTCCCCAATTCCTGCAGGTTATAGGCGAAAGTGCTCCTGTGCTGGTGCAGCACCTCTCTGATTGCTTTTGCCGTCTGCTCTTTGATAACCGTACCTAGCTTCCATTCCTTACCCTGCTCAGCTTCTTTGCCCCCTGCTAGTGCCGCAACATTCTCCTTTCCTCCCGTGCCCTGCTCAACAGCTGCATACGCCGCCTGCTTCTCTCCTTGTCCTTGCCTTTTTCCGGTCTCTCCTCCTTTATCAGCTGCCCCCTTCCTCATCTCTTTGATTAACCATCTCAGCGAGTGCTGGTCTATGGCTCTTCCTAAAGCTTCTCTGCGCATCCCTTCCTCTACCCCTTCTGCTGCGGTTGCTCCTGGCATGTATCCCATGGCTAACTCCCGCTCCAAAGCCGTCGGTTCCTCCCACTTCTTCTTCCTGACACTCCCATCCCGCCACTAACAAAACCACTTTACCCCAGCTGCTCACGTCTTCTTTCGTGAGCTGCCCCACGTCCCATTTCTTGTTCTGCATGGCCTTTCGTAGTACTTCTTTCGTCAGCTGTGCGGGGTACTGCTGTTATAACATTTGAGCATGCTTCCATGCCATTCTCCTCACCTCTGGGTCCAATTCTATGAGAAGAAACGAGAATGAATGAACTATGAATGAACTGGGTACAAGTACTAACCCTAATTGGGTTGTACCCCCTATGGGATACCCCACTATAGCCTACACAAAAGTATAACCTATATATGTTCTGACACACCACCATAGGCAAAGTGGGGGAGAACAAGGGGTCACAAGACCAGTCAAGCAAAGCAAAGCAAAGCAAGCTCAGGGTGGATCACAACGTCACCACACATTCTGAGCACAAGTTCAAGGCCACAAGGCCAGTTCACATGCAGGAGTACATATATACATATATATATAAGGCTAGACAAGCAAGAGCAGGTATATATATATATATATGTTACAGTACAAGCAAGGTCAAGGGGTGAGCAAGTGAGGCAAGACAGGGACAAGACCCAGCTGAGTGCAGAAGCGCTGATGATCACAAGGCGGAAGTGCCTTGGTGAAAACATCAGCAGTGTTGGCCTCAGAGGCCACGTACGCAAGCTGCAACTGACCACGCTGTTGTAGCTCACGAGCAAGGAAGTAGCGAAGAGCAATGTGCTTAGTTCTGTGCTCAAGTCTCTGCTCTCGACACAAGGCCAGCATGGCCTTGTTGTCTACGTACAGGACTGGAGGAGAACGAGGCGGCTCTCCAAGGTCGGTCAGCAGGTAGGTGAGCCAGCGAAGCTCCTGGGCAGCCATGGCCCTAGCGTAGATCTCAGCCTCACAACTGGAGCCGAGAACAGAAGACGAGCGAGTAGCCCGCCACAAAACAGAGCCGGAACCAAGGCTGAAGGTGTAACCCTGTGACGACCGCTGCGTAGCCTGGTCGTCAGCCCAAGAAGCGTCCGCGTGCCCAGTGAGGACCACTGGACCCCGCCCTCCAAGCACTAGCCCCATGCCCGACGTACTGCACAAGTAGCGCAACACCCTCTTCGCTGCAGCCATGTGCTCTGGTCGGTGTCTCCCAGGAGCAACATAGCGTGCAAGAATGCTAAGAGGGTATGCAAGGTCAGGTCGTGTGCAGGTCATCAGGTACATGAGGCAGCCAACAAGCTCTGGATACGGGCCACTCGACTCTACGGACTCATCCGAACGCAGAGCTGAGAGCGAGTGGCGAGTAGGCAAAGGAGTGGCCTGAGGCGAGGAGTACGTGAAGCCGAAGCGCTGAAGGACCTGCTGCACCATGTGTGACTGAGTCAGGGTAATGGTGCGGCGTGCTCTGTCCCGGGTGTTCTGCAAGCCAAGGTAGCTGCGCAGTTCACCCAGGTCTGTGCACGTGTGTCTCTTCTGCAGCTCGGACTTCACGTGGGCGAGTCCAGCAGTGTCAGCTGTGGCAAAGTGTCAGAATGTTATATTTGTTATCTAGCCTGCAGTGGGTTACTCTATAGCGAGTATAACCCCTTAGGGTTTATTTGTATCTCATTGCTTGCTCGTACAACCCCTCTTTTGCCTAACTTCTTCTTGCCTAGCTAGGTTAGTCCTAGCTATGGCTTTTACCTCGATCTACCTATCTTCACACAAAGACCAAGTCGTCGACGTACACGAGGATGTAGAACGGCGGCAGAGAGGTGTCGGTGCGCAGAAATAGCGACGGGTCGGCAGTAGAAGGAGCAAACCCAAGAGCCGCAAGTGTAGTCCTCAGTGTGTCGTGCCACTCACGTGGCGCCTGGCGGAGACTGTAGACTGGACGCCGGAGACTCCACTGGGTACCAGGAGGGAAAGACCCAGTGAAGCCAGGTGGGCGGCGCAGCCAGATCTCCTCGTGCAGGCTGCCCTGCAAGAAAGCAGTGCTGAAGTCAAGAGAGTGCAGCTCGTAGTCACGGTGAGCAGCAACGTGCAGCAGTACCCGAAGAATGGTCATCTTCGGGGTGGGGGAGAAGGTCTGAAAGTAGTCAACTCCCTGCCGCTGACTGAAGCCACGAGCCACGTAACGCGCCTTGAAGACAGGCGGAGAACCCGGCGGCCGCTTCACCCTGAAGATCCACATGCCACTGACGATGTTCGCCCCAGGAGGGGGGACAGCGTCAACGTAGGTGCCTGTGGACTTCCAGGAAGCCATCTCTGCATCCATAGCTGCCTGCCACTGAGAGGAGTAGGGACCCTC